ACACACTCACAGTCACATTGGCTCAGTCACATTCTCAATCTACACACGCACACATACACAATCACACGCTCACAACGCACCCCCAAACACAATAGATGAAATCTGAGGCATTTGTAGATCTTTCCTCATTCATCCCGTGCGAGGCACTAACTGGCTGAGAGAGAGAGAGAAATAGAGAGAGACAGAGCAAGGAGACTCGGAGAGAGAGAGATGGAGAGAACATGATCAGCGGTCCATGGGCCCTGAGGCGGCCTCATCCCGGCCCCCATCTCCATAGCAACGGGATGCAGGACTGTCTGATGCCGACCCAGTCTCCGAAGGTCGGGATGCAGGCTCTGATCGTCATGGTATCGAGTGCTGAGCACCTCGCATACAGCTCACCTCAGGGATAGTGAGGGGTGTGGGGGCGGGGAAGAGGGAGAGCAGGCAGGGAGCAGCGGCTCCATCCCACATTAAACTCTGCAGCACTGACCCTTCAAGCGCGTCGGTGTTGTGCTAAAGCTCCAGCCCAGCCTGGAAACCCGGCTCGGTGGTCATTGTGTAGAGCTGGGAGCGAGCAAGCGGCGATGGAGCCCACAGCATCCCTGGTTTAAATAATGCATTTGGCAACACTCGCCTCCGGCTCCGATCCTAACATCGGAGCTCTCTCTGCTTTATTTCTTTTTTGACATCTGAAGTGCTGTTGAAGGGGTTCGGGGAGATGGTGGGGGGAGGGGGGGTACAGAAATGTGAAGGGAGGTGGGGGGAGTTGCGGGAGGGGCAGTGTGAGAGCTTCAAAATGTTTGTGTGTGTGTGGTGGGAGGGGAGAGCTCCCGAAAGGACTGAATAATTCATTCAATGAAATGCCAAGTGAACGCGCTCGTGAAGAACAAATATTCTCGGAGGCTTGCGTGAGCAAGGTTCCTCAAACCAAACCCCCCCCCCCCCAAAAACCACCCCCCCCCCCCCCCCCCAATCAAATCCTCTCCAAGCGAGACCTGACAAATGTAATGCTTGACAATGTGTGGGAGCCAGGGGATGGGAGAGAGTAAATAATGAATTAAACACACGATGGGTTCCTCTGGTCTATGGCTGAATCGAGAAGACAAGGATGTAGCGAGTGAACCCCAGTTTCCTCATAAGCTCGACCCGCAAGGAATTCTCATGTTTTTGTTGTAAATAAGAATAATAAAGGCCGGGGGCTGGAAGGTGGCGGTGGTGGGGGGGAAGAGTTCTCTGGTTAAATTCCAGCCCTGGGTGAATGGCAGAATCGTTCTTACCTGGGTCATGAGGCGGTCAGCTCCTGTGTCCTCCTCGTCTTTGAAGATGATGTCAGGGTTGTAGTTGGGAGTCAGCTCCTTGAATTTCTCGGAGGTGCGGCTGATCTTGCCCTCCGACCTGCCGCTCGCCCCCAGGGTCTTCTCAGCCACATTGGGGATGAACTGCTTGTAGAGCAAAGGGGTGAGCTTACGGGACGGTCTCCTCCTGCCGTAACCCCGGCCGGGGCCACAACTCTGCACCGGTACCAAGAGGCAGCAGCACAGCAGCCCGAAGCGAGCTAATTCGGAGCCGGGCTGCATCTCCCCGCCTCTCGCCGGCTGCGGATCGCTTGGAAATCGGCTGCTCCCGGAGGACTAGCGCGCACTGCCGGAGATAGAGACACTCTCCTCACTGGCACAGCCATGGAACACAAATTAAAAAAAAGAGCGACGCGCCACCAAGAGAGGCAGTCCCTCGTCAGGCAGCGCGTTGTCGCCTGGTCACCACCTTGTGTGCGCACACACACACACATACACACAGAGGGAGAGGACAAGCCAAGATTCAACCCCCCCACCTCACCTCAAACCCCGCCTGCTTCACTGACAGCCCTCACCAAACACCCCACTCCACCACCAGAGTTCCCCCAAAGTACCGTCTCCCCTTCATTTCAACCACTTTGACCCCTCTCCCTGGTAACTGAACCCAGGCTGGACAAGGAAGGCTCCCCGGACCTGAAGCGTTTAACTCGGATTTCTCTCCACAGATGCTGCCAGACCTCCTGAGCTTTTTCCAGCCATTTCTGTTCTTTTTTTTGTTCCTGATTTCCAGCAACCTTTCGGTAGTCCTCTTGTGTTACAAGTTTGTGAATGTCAGTGCATTGTCTGTACATGAGGCCTCGGCGCGTACTAATACCATTCAGAAAATAAAAAAATGTAGGTTTCTTGGGCTCCGATTGAAGTCCCACAAGGAGCAGAATATCTTTGTCGCACTGAAATGTTTACTGGTGCCACAGACATGGCATTGCCACCATTTTTAATTCCACAGAAGGTCCAAGTGGAGTGTCTGCATGGGGCTTTCCTGCAACCTCTCAACCCTCTCCCAGTAATGTGCTGAGGTGTTATGGAGAGAAAAGTCAAAACTCTTGCAGGGGTGCGGGGTGGTGTCGTAGAGACGTAACTTTCTTCCAAAGTATATTCGACAAGCCAGGGGACAGGCGAGCGCGGATGTAACCGCAAAACAAGGGAGAACCAGCTCCTTTCCGGGTCTGCGTGGAGCTGTTCCTGGCCACTTTGGCCAGGCCCATGGCCTATCCAAATCAATCGGAGATCTGCACTTCATGCAGCACCGAGGAGGCCGCTTCAATCGGCGTCTGCGTCTCTGATCAGCCCAAAAGGGGAAGAAAAGCCTTAGTGTGGGGGTGGGGGCAAAGAGCGGGCTGGTTTGCGATGCCACTGCAACCGAACAGCCCTCAAGCTTCCTCCCTAAATAATTGCCACCTGGACGAGATGCCGAGGGGCGGGAGCCAGTAACCACAGACCCCCGGAGAAGGACAGGACAAAAAAAAAGTCAGTTGGCTGTCTCGAACAACGGGGTTTGGAATAGTTACTTGTGAGGGGCGATGCAAGTTGTTGCTCCTCCCAGCTCCAGAGACACTGACCCCTTTCCACTTCTGCTGTCCAGAATATCTGGGAGAGAGCAACAGTGAGCGAAGATGCCATTGTTTTTCAATGGAAGTGACAGTCGACCTTTCACCTTCTATTGTAATCTTTATGGAAAATGTTGGGAACTTGACTAAATTGGAACAAACATCTCGCCACCTCTTCCATTCAACGGTTCTTTAATAGCTCCTGAAGCAGACAAAGCCTGACCCTGATTTCAAGTACACCGTAAAGGTTTGACCTTAATACAACCAAATAGAATTGGGGCGGTAGGTACAATACAGAAACATTTCTGTTGTGTTAACTGTGAACACAATCCCAGTGGTTGATATCGGATAATCAGATAGGCGAACCGCCCAAGAAACAGCAGCGAATACAATGGATGTAAAAAACACTGGAGAAAAGTTACTGCCTTTGTAATGGTCATGAATGCGCGGCTCACGTTTTGCAGGAAGAACAAGTCAGTCACGGACAGGTGAGAATATATCTAAGTGTGAAAAGAAAACAGTGAAACAGAAGCACACAAAACGAGACTCAAAACAAAAACCCGAGAAAGAAGTAAACATTATTTTAAAAACACACACACATATAGGGCAGCTTTACATCATTTAGTTTATAAATTTGTTTTGAGGGACCGTTCAGAAATGAAAGGCCCTGGTCCATAATTAATGGGGGGGGGGAATTGGGGAGTATTTTCCATCCCAGATTCAACGCTGAGGAAATGTAACTAGGTCACTGCTTTCAAGCCATATCGATTCCGTTCACTCGTTTATTGATTCAGTTAGTCAAAACAGATTCCTTACTGGGGGCGGGGAGAACCACAGGGCTAAAATGGTGGAAGCGCCAGGAGCTAAGGAATGGCCAGTATAGGCGTCGAGAATGGCAAGAAAGTAAAGGTAACATTGACCCAATTCAAGGACTCTTGTGGCACAGTGGTAGTGTCCCTATCTGTGAACTAGAAGGTCAGGATTCAGGTCCCACCTGCTTCCAGAGGTGTGTCACAACTTGTGTGAACTGGTTGATTCAAAATAGGATTTCTTTCACCCAGTTTAAACATCCACCCATTCAGGCTAGTATTGTATCAGAGATAGTAGGAACTGCAGATGCTGGAGAATGTGAGACAACAA